AATACTCACCTCCTACCACCTAGTGACATCACTGGCTCCTCCATTCCCTAGTCACTACCTCACTCAACCCTGCCTCAGCCCCTACAAACCCCACCCCAGTCTCTATAAAAGACACTCCATGCCCCGGCCATATTGTCTTTGTCTCTCCTTTGTTCAGAGACAGCCCACCAGATCTGTTCTCCTAATAAAGGCTTGTTGTGGCCTGGTCTGGTCTTGGTTTTCAGCCCTTTTACCTGACACTGACTGACTGTATTCTCCCTCCCTGGGTCCACTGAGGTCCACCCTAATCCATCTGAGGCCAGATCAACTGGGGTCTCCATCATGGAATTCCCTGAGATCCAACCCTGCTCATCTGTGGCCAGACAAAATAGGCTTTCTCTCAGTTCTCCTAAGGTTGGCCCCAGTCCATCCACAGCTGGACTGACCAGACCCTCCCTCTCTGGGTCCCCCAAGGTCCACCCCTATTTGTCTGCAGCCAGACCAACTGGGTTCTCCCTCTCTAGATTCCCTGAGGTCCACCCCAGTCCATCTGCAGCAGGACCCATTGGGCTCTTCATTGCTGAGTCCCCCAAGGTCCACAGCCACAGCCAAACTAACCAGGGTCTCCCTCACCAGATGCCCTGAGGTCCACCCCTATTGTCTGCAGCCAAGTCAATTGGCTCTGCCTTGCCTGGTTCCCAAAGTCTGCTCCTGTCCATCTTTGGATGGACCAACTGGGCTCTCCCTTACTGGGGCCTCAAAGTCCACCGTGGTCTCCCCACAGCTCGACTGCACAGGCTCTCCCTCACCAAGTCCTCCAAGATCCACTTCACCTTGTCCTTGGCCAGACTGATGGGCTCTCCCTCGCTGGTCCCCCCAGGGTCCAGTGTGGTTTGTCCACAGCTGGACTATCCAAGGTCTCCTCACCGGTCCCCTGAGGTCCAGCCTGTCCATCCACAGCTGGATGCTCTAGGCTCTTCCTTGGTAGTGCCAAGGTCCACCCTGGTCCATCTGCAGCAGGATGTACCACACTCTCCTTTACCAGGCTGCCAAGGTCCACCTAGTTTGAGGAGAAGAAAATGAGAAATAGTAGAGTGCTCTGCTCTGTCAGGTCCTGTACTGCTTCCTTGTTCTTGTACAGGTCAGCACAGTATGAGTTAGCTGACAGTGGAAATTCTTGACAGAAGATCAGGGTGTCTGCTCTGAGCTTGGTCCAGATCCTCACCCTCATAGAAGCCCATGCTAGAACCTGGTGCATGATGAAATGCCTGAGCCCCTCTTCACTCTTACATGTCCAACCAGTTTGTGGGAGCAGACAGAGAACCAGGGACCCTCAGGACCTTTGCCATTCCTGTGAGTCCAGCAGTTAGAGACCTCAAGCCAAGTGCATGGGTTATAGATATGGCTGCTTGACAGAGCCAAGTGTTGAGGCAATAATTGAGCTCACAGCACACCCTGGGCTGGGGGACAAAGTGGGGCAGGCACCTGCCCAGGGCAAAGTGAGCTACACTGTTGCTCTCTACATTTGCTTATGGTCACAGGTTCCAGAATTTGACCTTGTCCTTGAGAGGTCATTCAGACCAACACTTGGTCTCTGGACACATCCTTGCACCATGGAGTCAAGTTGCTCAGGCCTGGGGCCTCATGACTATCACTGAGATGGCTGATCCTAGACTTGTCAAATAGGGGTGCTATGTCCATACTCAGGGACTGGCCAGCATCCTGGGGAGGCAGTGATATGTCCCAGGTACTGTGCAGTTGCCCCCCCCCACACCGAGACTGAGACAGGAAGGTAGGGAATGGCTAAAGCTGGTTGAGAAAGGAAGCATGACAAGATCCCAGAACATATGCAGAGAATCATTTCCAAAGCCCCGCCTATGGACTTCTTGTGAGAACCTGAGCAGATATATGATAGAATGGCCTAGATCTGACATCAGCCTGAGGAGTACATGATACGAAAAGGACAGTCCACATTGAGGTTTGGCCACTGTGTTTACACCTGCATGCTGGCCAGCCCTCACAACAGTCCACATTGAGGTTTGGCCACTGTGTTTACACCTGCATGCTGGCCAGCCCTCACAACAGTCCACATTGAGGTTTTACTACTGTGTCCTCTTTTGCATGGTGACCTACCCTCAGGCAGTAGGGTGTACTTCTTTTCCTACTTTTACTTGCCCCAAACTAATTCTGTAGAGCCAATTTCTTTTTCTACCTTTAATAAAACTTTGCTACAATTTGCTCTTGTTTTGACCAATTCTATGCTTAGGACATAAAGAAACTAGAAACTACTTCCAGAAGGAGTGACTATAGCATGCCCAATACAGTAAGTCCAAAACTTCTGATTGAGCCCTCTTCTGGGAGAATGTCTTTAAGTCAGATTCATTCTCTAGTCCAACAAAGTGAGTCATACAACTTTGACACAAATACACAATTTAAAGCATAGAAAATTAAACCTCCACATCACTACTGCTTTTCCTCTTGCTTCTTGATATTCTAGCCTCTAACTGAACTCTGGACTGCTGTACACTATCACACAGTACAGTAAGTACACAGCAGCAAAGCTATGACAATGTCTGGCAGACGTGAACTACTTGAAAAGGGGCTCCAGGAGAAAACTAGTTAAGGCCTATTTAACCTTTCATCTCTTCCACCACATCAGGTCACTTAGATGGTGCCAACTCTGACAAAGTAAGGTTAATTTGAAAAATGAATAACGTGTTAAATGAAGGATTTTGTTTGGAAAACATCCTGGTTCAAAGCAGAAAAAAAAATTCTACAGACCATGAGAAGCAAAGTGACCTGTATTTGCATTTGAGTATGGTATTTCTCCTCCTTCATCTTTACTACATCTGTGTGAATTTGAAGATAAACAAATCAGCTCCTGGGCCTCACTGTGAAGTCAGAAAAGGCTTGCTTCCAACTTCAGGTTCAGCTTTCTTGCCTCCATTAACTATTGCAGGTGAGTCTGTTTCACCTTCATAATCCTATTCAGTTTCTATTTTCTCTTTGAAACCAAATGTAGAAGTATCAGCATACTTGATTTACTCACTTCCACTAATTAACTTGAACTAGAGGGCCGGGGGTTTAGCTCAGTGGTTTCGTCTCCTGCTGCACTAAACCCAAGGACCCAAGTTCGATCCCCGCTACCAAAAAAAAAAAATTGAACAAGAATACATTTTGTTCCTCGGCAAGGTTTTACATTCAGTAATAGCTTTTGTCTAGAATTATACAATGAATCTGAAGCAAAACATAAAGTAGTAGAATTAGCTCTGTAGTTCTGAGCTATGCCTTTGTTGCTGACATTGGGTCAATGTGGGAAGTCACCAAGTTTCAATAAACTTTAATCACTTGGCCCCACATTCAGTCATTATGGCCCCAAGTTCTATGATGACTTCTTTCCTAAAAAAAATTTATTACTACATGTTTGTAGTACATAGTAATCACATTCATCATGGGGGTCTGGTACGTGCACATAATACATCTTAATTTGTTTTACTTTCTCTTCCCTTTCCCTCCCTCCTCTCTCCCTCCATCTCTGTATGTTTTCTATTTGCAAAAGATCTAGCTCCATAACTCCTATTATCCATCCTTTCTTTTGCTTTTAGATTATTTATACTTTGTGTTTCTCATACAAGAAGAGCCATATGATATTTAAGCTTGTCTGTCTGATTTATTTTACTTAACATTATGGTCTCAAGTTGCATCCATTTTCCTGCAAATGATTCAAATTTATCCTTTTTTTGTATCCTTCAGGTTCTATAGTGATCTCTGAGAGGGCTTGGTTAGAAGAGCCAGAATCCTGTCAGGCTTCTCTCTAGCCAGTTTAGTCATCCCAACCAAGAGCAGTCTGGTTAAGCCCTGTTTCCTCTAGCATTCACCTAACACATCCTTTCATCAGCAATACTTGCTCATACATATTTCTGATACTGTGAGTTGTTAAATAAATTGTTACATTATTTTAATTTGTAATATTCACACGATTCAAAATTAAAATGTGAAAATGAGCAATAAAAACTCTCTCCCCAGTCTCCCCTCCATCTTCCAAAAATAGGTTATAATTTTTAATTTATTTATTATAAATCTTTATTTACTCATACATTTACTCAAAGACTGCATTTTCTATACACTATTCTATATCTTGCCTATTTTTTTAAGTAGAGCCCCTTCACTCTTCTCTTTAGCTGAATGGTGTTTTTCATATGAATATATTTATTTCTAATTGGAATAATTTAGGTGGCTTCCTATCTTTTGATTTTACAAATATTGCCACAGTGAATGATACTGTATTTAACTCATTTTATACACATACACATGTATTTTTATAAGATGCATTTCCATGCCTAGAATTAATGCATCAAAGGCTATATGCATTTCTAACTTTGATAGACAATAGAAAATTGCCTTCATAATGATGGTACAACCACTGGTGTAAATTATGGGACCATTCCTCCCTGATGTCATTACAGTGTGTGTGTGTTTATTTAAATCAAACTTTGATTAGGTTACCTATAACCTATTATTAGATTACCTATTACTTATTATTAGATTACCTATTAGGTTATAAATAACATGCTATTTAGTTTTTAATTATTACGAGTGAGATTGAATCTTTTTTCATGTATGTTCTTTCTCTCTGAAAACCATGCATGTCCTTTGGCCACATTCCCATTTTATCTCCCATAACTTAAATATTCAGTTGCAATGCTATTTTCAAACCTTGTAGTGCAAATTATTCCAAGCATCATAGTATTTCTCATTACTTCTACTAGTTTCTGACAAATAAGGGAATAATTTGAATAGATGTTCTGTGGTAAGGAAGGAATTATACCAGAGACATATTTCCTTATAGCCACCTGACAACATCTATGAAAACATACCTATTTGAAGAAACAATTATGAAATATTATTTTGATTTACAAGCAATTTAAATGGGTAGGAAATATAAAATGACAAAAATAAAAACAATTGTGAATGTATATAATATTAAAACATAGTTAACTATATAATATATATGCATAAATCTAAAACAATGTTATCATTTTTAATAAGAAGAAACAATGTTCATATAAATATCTCACTCCAACACCAAATTTATGCATTTGAAGCCTGTACATAGTTAGCTCTTGCTCCATACTGTTCAAGGATCTATTTCTTATTTGCTCAACTTTTCTGTGAGTCTGAATAAAAATAACAGGTATCAGTTGATTTCCACCTGGACAATGGTCTGGGCACATCTACTGTATCCTTGGTTTTCCAGGTAATTTATCATCCTTCAGAAGTATGCTGTATCCTGTAACCCCAGGTTCTCACTACCTCAGGCACCATTTTTCCTACTCAGCTTCCAACCCCATGAGTGTTTCTAGGTATTCTAGCTGCTGAGGATGTTCGATGAGAAATTTCTCTATGTGGTTATCCGTCCAACCTTTCAAAGAAATATTTGCCTTGAAGATCTGCTGTAGCATCTCATGAAGAATAACCAGTGCATGTTCTTTCTGGCATGGTTGAGAACTTACAGATTTCTGAGCAATCAGGAAAGTTTTCCTGTGTGGTAGACACTGATAAATCTGATGAACTTTGCAAATTATTCAGTAGTTGTAAGCCCTCTCCACAGCCAGTTTCAATTCTAGGGAGAAAATAGTGGAAGAGGCCAGCAGCACCAACAAAATTTCAAGGATCTGCTTGTGAATCATAGTGAAGGTAAAATGTGCTACTTATCTCTGTGCAGACCTAATAAAACCCCAGTTCTAGTGAATGTTTACCTTTCATGCATCTCTGATGATTCTGGATGGTGTTCTCTTTCGTTTCTTTAGTTTTCTTATGTTGTCATTTATTCAAGTTCACCATAGGTTTTCTTATTCCCATTTCATAGCATTTATGGAACATTTCATTCACCTTCCCCGCTGTGTTATTTGTTTGAGGAAATAACAAAGAAATCTTGTTTCATTTTATGCTTTTCTTGAGCCAACTGCCAAGTAGCCATCCAAAATGATTTTCTATTATCTTTATTATTTTTACATACAAAGTTTCACGTAAGAGAATGTGATTTCTAAAAAATTAATCAAGCTTATTTCAAGTTCTTTTATTACAAAAAATAAAGTTCTTTTATTGAAAGTAAACTTTTTTAAAAAAGCCAGTCCTCTTTCATGGAGTAATATTTATCTAAGGCTTACCACCACCTATAAGATACTTAGAGGCAAAAGTTAGCATACATAAAGGTTACTAAATTTAAAACCTCAAGTAGAACTACAAATTTGCACAAATGCTTGAGCAAATTAATATTATAATATGTATTAGCAACCTTATATGGTCTTATATCTTATCAATTCAATATAATATCTAACATTTTAGCCTATGAAAATAATATGAAAGAGAAAACATTTAGCAAAAGAAGGTTGTTATGTTATTGAAATGGCAGAATACTATAAACAACCTATGGGTCCAACAACAAGAGAGTGACTACATCTACATTGGTTCCTCCATATAGTGGAACCTTGTGAAACCATTGTAAATGATAAGTATGTGAGAAGTGATTAGAGGCAGTTGGTTAGTTTATATTCCGTAGGGTAGCAATAACTATAGTAAATTATAGTGAACATTTCTACATCAGTAATGCCTGTTGGATTACAAATATCTAGTTCTATGTGTTAAATTCCTTCTGAATGTGTCTTTAATCAATCTTTCCAATCTTACTTCCCACTGTTCTTCTAAGCAGTGTGAGGGAACTCAAGCACCAGCTACAGTAAAGGACTCCTACTCCCTTAAAAGATTTACGGTTTGAATGTGTATGTTTGTGGCTATCAATGAGAGTTTCTTTCTTTGAAACATGATCTGTAGCCTCTTTCACTGAATCTTTCTCTGAACTTGCTCATTAAAGCCAAGATCTACTCATGGAACTATAATCTTACTCTCAATCCACACAGCATTTTGTATTTCTTCTTCTGTCTACTATTTATTTACATATCTTACCATCCTTCAAGATTAAAATATCTTAAGAATGTGTAATACACATTCATCCTTTTTACTGTCTATACAACTATATATATATATTTTTTTTGGGGGGGGGGTACCAGGGATTGAACTCGGGTCCTTGTGCTTTTGAGGCAGGTAGTGGAACCACTGAGCTAAATCCCCAGCTATACAACTAAAGTAGGTGTTTAATAAATATGTGTGACTTAGGGTTCATTAATACATTCTGCACAAAATAATGCAATATACTGAATTTTATCTTTCATCATTTCTCACAGGCAGTAGTTGGATGAATCCTTGTGCACTGAAAACAAATGTCTTGTAAACTTTCATGGTCTAATTATATATTAGCTAAGCTGTATGTTAGGATCACTTGTAGGCTTAGTATCACTGAGTTGAATCAATTGAATCAGCATACATATGGAAGAAGAGAAGGAGGAAAAGGAGAAAAGACTTATGGTAATTTATAAGATACAAAAGGAATAACACTTGTTTCAATAACAGTCTGCTTTATCTGTATAATAAAATTTTCACTGGTCTCAACACAGATTTTTAAATCTTTAATGCAGCTCTTCAGGAAAACAGTATAAGGATACATTACAAATATCAGAAGTGACTATTGAATAAGAATGAGTTCTGATTTACAATCAAGCTTTTACATGATTTTCTTTTGTTTTGTCTTCAATGAATAAAATTTGATTTTAACTGGCTGATAATCACTTGTATTTAAAGCTAGTTCATTTTAACAGATAAAATGAACAAAAATTGTACGTACTAATGGGGTATATTGCGATGTTTTGATACAAGTATACATTGTATAAAGTTCAATCAGGGTAAACATAGCTACCTCCTCAAACATTTATCATATTTTATGCTGAAAACATTAATAGTCCTTTCTTCTTGTTTTCTGAAACACAGAGTATATAATTATCTAATTACCCTACTTTGCAACAGAACACAATAATTTCTTACCCTATATAACTGTAACTTCATATGGATGATCATCCTTCCCCCACCCTTTCCTTTCCCCACTCTCTTCAGCCTCTGGTAACCACAATTTTATTTTTGACTTTTATGACAACAACAATTTTTACAATCCACATACAAGTGAAACCATGATAAATATGTGAGAAAGACATACTACTTGTCTTTCTGTGCCTGTACATGTATTTCATACATGTAACATAATAATCTATAGTTCCATCTGTATTTTCACAAATGATACAATTTCCTTCTTTATTTAAACAGTTGAATATTATTTTATTGTGTCTATTTACCACATTTTCTTTATCCATTCATCTCTTGATGGGCACTTAGGCTGTTTCCATTTCTTGGCTATGGTAAATGATACTGCAATAGATAAATTGCAGGGAAGATGGTGGAGCAGTAAGCAGCAATAAATCAGCCTGTCCAAGATTTGGAACCTGGACACTGGAAAATAACAACTTGGTGAATAAAAATGGAGAGAAGTGGATCCTTGGGACCCAGGAAGGATCTGAAGGGAAGTTGGAGCCTATAGAGAAATTGAAGAGACAGACTACAACACAGAAAAAGGAAGGGGCAATCTGCACTTTATCCCTGGCTTCTGAATCATGGTAAGAGAAAGGAAGACTGAATCTACAGAGACACAGTGAAAGCAGGCACGGGAGAAATGCACAGTGAAACAGAACAGTGGATGCTCTGCATTATAACAGCAGTTGAGTAACTCCAGTCCAAATGTTTGTCATATCCTTTGGAGAAAGTGCCTGGTCTGAAGTCATTTTAGGGAGAGGTCAAATGAACCTGCGACTCAATAGGCTTCATTTCAGGGCTCCCAGTGCTAAACTCCCACAGTGACTGGGTGAAGGATAACTGTAGGAGTCCACCATGAGCAAGCCAAAAATTCATAAAATGGCTTTTTATATTAAATGTCTGAGTCTGCCTCCCACAATGGTTTGCCTGAAAAGCCAGGAGTTAGTGTGTAGGAAAGGAAGAACTCCCCACATCACTGGTTACAACAGAGGTCTCAATGATCCATGATGTTGTGATATCTTGGATGGCAAGCAGTGCTAAGGGCAGTGTGGCTCATACAGAAAACTCCCACAGAGGCAAAAATTAATCCATGAGAAGTAACAAATTTCCCATTAATTGGTGATCTGTTCCTACTAGAATACCTTATTCCCTTGTTGCTAGGAACCTGCTTGCATCAGTGCTCTCCACCTCACTGTTCCCTGCACCATCCCTTATCCCTTCTAGAAGCTGCAAGATCAATAAATAATGATGAGCTCCAGAAGACAGTGTCTTATCCAGACAAGAGCTTTGATCATCCTGGGCCCCCCATTTATGCATTAAGATTTTGTCCTGTCTTTTTTTTCAATCCATCCACCATACCCTTGGTCAGGTGACTGGGGGTCTGATCAGCCTCCAATAGAAAACCACAGGAGACATGTATGGTCAGGGAGCTGTGGTCAGACCAGCAACAGACACCCAGTGTTATACGCTAGATGACTCAGGCCCCACCCACACAACCAAAGGCAAGGTTCCACCTGAATTTCTGTGGATTTGAAAGTCCCAAACTACCACCCCACCCTAATCCTGTGACTGGCTTGCTGGGATTATTCTACATAGGTCTAGGCTCTGACTACCTACCTTGTCTACCAGACAGAGCAGAGTCATGTCTTGAATTGGACACTGCCACAAAACTGTAGACCACAGAAGATAAGCACAAGCTTGAAATCACACAAAAAAATCTTTTTTCTTTGCTTTTGGTCTTTTTAAAAATTTTTGATTGTTTGTTTGGGTTTTTTCTTTTTTTGATTGTTGCTGTTGGTGTTTTTTTTTAGTGTGAACATTAGTTTTTTGTTTTGTGCTGGCTTTTGTTTTCTTTTTCTTTCTTTTCCTCCTGTCTTCATCACCAAGTTCCTGAAGCTTGGGTATCATCATTTTTTCTTCAGCCTTGCTTCTAATCTCTTTTTGGCTTTCATTTCTCTACCTTTTCCTCTTCTTCCTTTTAAATTTTCCCTCCTTAGGGTAAAGTCACTTGATGTCTTTTCCTTTTTAAAATTTTATTAATTTATTGGTATATTTTAAGTATACAAAATAATGACATCCCTCATAGGAAATTTGCACCTTTACATAATCTCTCTCGATTCTTCTTTTTCCCTATTCCCCTGCCCTCCCTTAAACACCTCCATCCCTCTCTATTTACAAAGACTTTGTTTCCATTTTTTCATTTTCTCATATTAATTCCATTCCTTCTTTCCTTTCCTCTACCCATCCCACTGCCCCTTCCCCTTTGCTCCTTTTCTTCCTATTTTACATTATCTATTATACCTTTTAGTCCTTATTTACACAGTTTCTCACACTAGAGAAATTATTTGGCATTTATGCATGTGTGTCCAATTTATTTCACTTAAGAGTACTGCCTCGATGTGCATCTATCTAGCTATAAATGTCTCTAATTTATCATTTTTGATGGCTGAGTAGTACTCCATTTTATTTTTTTAAAAAGCAACCCACATTTTCTTAACCCAGGCTCCAGTTGATGGGCAATTGGGCTGCTTCCAAGTTTTAGCTATTACAAATTGTGCTGCTATGAACATGGGTGCACAAATATCACTGTGGTATGATTCCTTTAATTCTTTGGGGAAGATACCCAGCAAGGGAATAGCTAGGTCAAATGGAACTTCCAGTCCTAGTTCTTTGAGGTATCTCCGTACTGATTTCCACAGTGGCTGCACCAATC